CCAAATATGTAAAGGAAAGACTGCTAGATCTAAAAGGAGAGAGAGACTGTAACACAATAATTGTTGGAGATCTCTACACACCATTATCTCCTTTAGACAGGTCATTGAGACAAAAAATAAAGTAAAGAGATTCTGGACCTAAATGATACCATAAATCAGATGGACTTGATAGATAGCTATATAATTTTCCACCCAAAAAAACACAAAACATACATTTTTCTCAGCCCCACAGGGTACTTTCTCAAAGACTGACCACATGATAGGGCACAAAATCACCCTTTACAGACTGAAAGACATAGAAACTACATCCAGCATCTTCTCCAACCATGATGGAATTAAACTTGATATTAATCTCAGGGAAAAAAAAAACTCGAAAATACACAAATATATGGAAACTAAATAACCTACTTCTGAATGAATTCAGACTACTGAAGAGATTAATATTGAAATAAAAAAGATTCATGGAAACAAATGATAATGAGTACACAAGTTTCCATAATTTATGGGACACTGCAAAAGCAGTCATTAGAGGGAAGTTCATAGCAATTAGTGCACACAAGAAAAAAATGGAAAGGTTGCAAAAGGACAACCTAACATTATGCCTCAGAGAATTGGAAAAACAACAACAACAAAAATCAAAAAATGCCAGGAGAAAAGAAACAATAATCAAGCAGAAATAAATGAAATAGAAAATAAGCAAACTATACAGAAAATAAATGAGAGCAAAAGCTGGTTCTTTGAAAAGATAAACAAGATTGGCACACCATTGGCTAGACTAATTAAGAAGAAGAGAGAAAGGAATCAGATACATGAAATTCACAATGAATCATGCAATATTACAACAGATATAATAGAAATACAAAACACTATTAGAGGATACTATGAGCCACTATATGCCAACAAACAAGAAAACCTGTATAAGATAGACAAATTCATGGACAAATACAATCTACCCAGATTGACTCAGGAGGACATATAAAGCCTAAATAGACCTATAATAAGCAATGAGATTTAATCAATAATAAATGACCTCCTAACAAAGAAAAGTCCAGGTCCCAATGACTTTACTGCTGAATTTTACAAAACTTTTAAAGAAGTAAACCCCCATTCTACTCGCACTGTTTCTAGAGATCCAAAAGAAAGGAACCCTTCCAAATTCATTCTATGAAACCTCTATTCCCATCATTCCCAAAACTGATAAGGACACAACAAAAAAGAAAAACTACAGACCTATATCTCTGATGAATATAGATGCAAAAATTCTTAACAAGATACTTACTAACCATATTCAACAGCATATAAAAAAGGTTACTCATCACGACCAGGTAGGCTTTATTTGAGGGATGCAAGAGTGGTTCAATATATATAAAATCATAAATGTAATACACCATATTAACAGAAAGGAAGATTTAAAAAGCCCATATGATGATTTCAATTGATACGGAAAAAGCATTTGACAAAATATAACATTCCTTTATGATTAAGACTCTCAGGACAATTGGCATAGAAGAATTGTTTCTCAGCATAATAAAAGCCATCTATGAAAAACCTATAGCTAACATTATACTGAATGGGGAAAAGCTGAAAACTTTTCCACTAAAAACTGATACAAGACAAGGCTGCCCACTTTCTCCAGTCCTATTCATATAGTACTGGAAGTCCTAGCCAATGCAATCAGACAAGAGAAGGAAATAAAAGGCATTCCAATAGGGAAAGAAGAAGAGCTAAAATGATCTCTGTTTGCAGATGACATGATTGTATATGTAGAAGACCCAATAGTATCACAAAAAAATTCCTTGAAGTAATAAATACATACAGTAAAGTGGCAGGATACAAAATTAACTTACAAAAATCTGTAGTATTTCTATATACACACAACAAGCAAACAGAGACCAAACTGAAGAAAGTAATCCTGTTTACCATAGCCACCAAAAGTATAAGATACCTAAGAATAAAACTAACTAAGGATGTCAAAGATCTCTATAAGGAAAACTATGAAAACCTTAAAAAGACCATTGAAAAGGACACAAAAAAGTAGAAGGACATCCCATGTTCCTGGATTGGCAGAATTAATACAATCAAAATGATCATCCTACCCAAATTAACCTACACATTTAATGCAATCCCTGTAAAATTACAAGAGACATTCTTCACAGATCTAGAAAAGACAACCATAGAATTTGTCTGGAATCATGAAATACCCCATACTGCCAAAGCCATCTTGCACAAGAAGAATGGAGCGGGTGGCATTCCACTCCCTGACCCCAAAACATATTACAAAGCTATGATAATCAAAACAGCATGGTATTGGCACAAAAACAGACATGAGGACCAATGGAACAGAGTAGAGACCCCAGAAATAAATCCCAAAACATATAGCCAACTGATCTTTGACAAAGGGTTCCAGTCAATAGAGTGGGAAAAGGAAAAGCAGGCATGTGTGCATGCCCAAAATCCTGAGAGAAGAATGGAGAAGGGATTGCGGTGTGGCCAACTTCTTGGGGGTGGGAGGTGGGCAGGTGATTTCTCACTTTCTGTCTGTTTCTCTCTCTCTCCAGCAAGCACACACACGCTATAGCAAAAATCTCTCAAAAAAAAAAGTTGGAATGCAGATATGACACCACTACATGGCTGAATTTGGTTGAAGAGAAGTTGAGATTGGACAAGGGAATGAATTTTAGTATCTTGACTTCAGGTGCAAGCAATAAGAAATGGTAAAGGGACAATGAGTTATCCACTAACTGAATTCATATTACTATTAATTCTGTAGTGTAACCAGACAGAAGAGGATATTAAATTTCAGTGGAGGATTTGGAGATAAAGTACAAAAGGTGAATAAATTTGGATAGAAAATTAGATCAGTGAGCTGTAGCTCTCTTGAAAAATTCTCAAATTAACCCCAAGAACATTATAAGCATAATCTCTCTACCACCTAGTGAAGGCTACAGAGCCTTCCTTTTTTCCTAGAACTGCCTGATTTTGACCCAGAGATTATCAGTCCTGACAACTAAACTGAGAAGAATCCTGCACAAGTATCTCTCTTTTGTGAGCATCCAGAAAGAACGTCAGACTAGCAAAAAAGAGCACCAGTAGCAAGGGTATATGTAGAGAACATTAATTTAAAATAAAAATTTAAGACCCTCCTTTGAAGGCCAGCCCCATAGCAGTTAAACCCTATGTATAGGGAGCTGGATCCCACATGGCTGACTGTGGTTTGGATCCTAATTCCATAAGCTTAAAAAACATATTGCATGGCCTAGCTGGTGGTATAGTAGTTAAGGTGGCTGGATCCCTGTGGTCAACTGACAACTGACAGATTCAAGTCTCAGACCTGATGACTTGAAAAACATGCTAGGCACGTATATGCGTTTGCCTGAAATCTCAAGGAGAAAATAGAGGAGAAGGAACTATACTGTTTCCATCCCCCTTGGAGGTAGAGAGGGGGGAATGATTTTTCTCTCTCTCTCTTTTTCTCTCTCATGAACACAAGCACTCTGTAATAACAACAACAACAAAAATAAAACAGACAAACACTGCATTTGTACATGCATGTCCAAAATCCTGTGGCATGGGCCACACCCCATTGAGGGTGTTTTCTCTCTCTGAGACACACACACACACGCACACACACACAAGCACACACACCCTCAGGCAATAAAAATAATTTTTTTGAGAGGTTTTTGCTATAGGGCGCATCGCTCGCCAGACAGACAGAGAGAGAGACAGAGAGACAGAAAGTGAGAAATCACCCCCCAGGGGGGATGACCACACCGCAATCCCTTCTCCTCCTCGCAATTCTCTTCTCAGGATCTTGGGCACGCACGCACACGCGTCCAGCATGAGTTTAAGTCACCAGGTCCGGGTCGCGAACCGCAGTCGACCACATGGGAGTACAGCGACATAGCCATTACGCTAACTGCTGGTCTCAATAAAAAGAATATTTAAGTAAATCTCCTTTGAAGATTCCTTTGAATGCATTATCAACATTATCTAGTACAGCTAATTCCCATCTATCAGAAAGAGTAAGCCTAATCATATAAAACAAAGGCAACTTGTAGATTTTCCAAATAATTAGACTACAGTGAATGCCTTGGCCCTGCATTAGTCGAGTAAAATACATTGAGTTATCTGAGCATTACAGAACATTTTGCAGCATCACAGGACTGACTCTTGTGTCTGAGTCGGGGAAGAGTGTACATGCTGAGCAAAAATTATGATTATGTGAAATTCCACTAAATTAGTGAGATTGTTGTGTTATTCTTATACCCAGGTTTAAAAGCTTGGATAAAAGGAGGCTAACATGTCATAGGACTCTGAGAATACACATAAAATGTCAGCATTGAATAACATCAAAACTAACCCTTATTTCTTCATTTGGACCTTTCCTACCATATGATCTGTCATGTGCTAAGTTTTGACATAGTATTAGAGCTAAAAGTAAGAATCATTAAAACACTTGGGCTCAAGCCTTAGCTGTGGATGAACACAGGTGAGTAAGCAGAGAAAAACATCATTTGTCCAACTGTCAGCTAAAACTAATGATCTACTCTCTGGGTTTCTAAAATTCTTGTTAATTGTGTTTGATTCTATTTTCTTACTATGTTTCTGAAAGATTCATATTATTGCTCCCTGTCCACATCAGTAAACGATTCTTAAAAGGATTTCTCAGAAAGGAACAGCTGAAACCTACACACTCCTCCATCTTCTTCAATAAACATAGCTTAGTTCCTTCAGTATTGAAAACAACATGAGAGGTTTAGACATTCAATTACAATTGAATTCATATCTCCTCTCATTATCAAAATAAACCATTTGTAACTTTTTAAATTAAGATTGTTTCCATCCCAAGAAATATTGGTTACAGTTCAAGTATTAACACAAAATCCATCATTCTTACTTACAATGTATCATTGAAGGTATTGTCTCAGTCTGTCTTACACTACTATGACAGAATACTACAGAGTGGGTCATTTATAATAAATGGGAATTTATTTACTTACAGTTCTGGAGTCTAGGAAGTCCAAGAGCCTGGCAATAAAATCTGGCAAAGGTCTCATGCTGCATTATCCTGTGACAAAAGGTGGAATGAAAGAGAGGGTGAGAAAGAGCAAGAAAGAAGGGACCAAACGAACCCATTCCCATGGCAGCAACTTTATTCACCAAAAACACTCTCCTAACTTAATCACTTCTTATTATACCCCAGCTCCCAGCACTGATACATTGGGGATTAAATTTCTGACATATGAACTTTGAAGGACACATTCAAAACAATAGCAGGTACATTCTGGACATGATTTTGACTGAGATCAGATGCAATGTGGAATCAGTAAATAAAAGTATTTACAAAGTTGAAGGAACACCTCAGAGGCTGAAATGTCAAGCCAACGAGACAGAAAATATTACTCCTCTGATGTCTTCTTGGTAATTAACTATCACAAGGAGAAACCCTGTTTTCTTTTCCTAAATTCAGTATTTCATATTTCTTGGTTTTCATAGCTATTATGGAACTCCAATATAAAGAAAGATACACATTTAAAATTCAGGCAAAACATTTTTTATCTCAGTGCTGATTACATTAAAGCTAAGAATATGATTTTCTTATGATGTCATGTTTATATCTGATATTAGTCCAGCTAGAAATCTTCAAGGATAATGATGGTCAACTCCTAAAATTAGGTATATGTGGAAGGTAGGGGTGGGAAGCGTGTAGAATCAAGGTAAAGAGAAATGCTCTATGGTCTGGATATGTCAAGTGGCACCAGGATAATGAAGTCCAGTGAAGAACAAAGGAAATTAAGCAGGATAATAGCCATCGTTTCTTGAGCATGCTAACAACTTAACTTCCATCATCTCTAAGCCTTACATCAATCCACAGAGCAAATACCATAATCTCTATTTAAAAATGAGAAATGGAGGCTCAGGTGATTTAAATAAAGACCAAGGTCAAATACTTGTGCCATAGTTCTGTTTAAACAAGAGCCAGTCTAATACCAAAGCTCAAGTTTGTTTCAGTAAGTCTGAAGGTCTCAGATGACCATTTATGGAGATTAGATAGATAGTAAAAAGTCCTTGGAGATTTTCAATAGAGGAGTGCTAACAAGGGATCTATGTTTGCAGAAGATTGTTCTGATTGCAAGCAGTGACTGAAGTGAAGTACAGCTTCAAAATCTAAGAGAATAAGGGTCAATTTAGGGTCAAGAGAGTACATTTGAAAAGGCAGCATTCCCAGTTAACGTACAACAGTTTCTTGGGACCAGCAGATAGCGTAATGGTTACATTGCTGGACTCCCACGTAGTAGACTGTGGTTTGAGTCCCGAACCTGGCAGCTTAAAACACACACAGGGCACGTGTGCATGTGCACCCAAGATCCTGAGAGGAGAATGGAGTAGAAGGGGTTGCAGCGTGGCCATCCCACCCAGAGAGTGAGTTATCACTTTCTGTGTCTCTGTTTCTCCAGTAAGCATCCACATCCTATAGCAAAAACCTCTCCAAAAGAAAAAACAAAAGAAAGAAAGAAAGAAAGAAAAGGCAGCTTTCCGAATGTGAGGCATGCAGCTATAGAAACAACAAAATTTGAAAGCTGTCTTTGCAGATCCAGCTCCCATTGTCTTTGTCTGAGAAAATGTCACATTCCATTCTTCTGTCACTTTTTTTTTTTTGAGAGGTTTTTTTTTTTTTTTTTTTTTAGGGCCTTGGCCCTTTCCAAAAAAACAGGGGACAGAGAGACAAAAAGTGAGCAATCACTCCCCAGGTGGGATGGCCACGCCACAATCCCTTCTCCTCCATTCTCCTCTTGGGATCTTGGGCACGCACGCACACGTGCCCAGCGTGAGTTTTATGAGGATTTACTGAGACTCAAACCACAGTTGACTACATGGGAGTCCAGCAACATAGCCATTACACTAACTACTGGTCCCTCCTTCTGTCACTCTAATGTACATGTACAAAAGGAGGCGGTTCCTTGACATTCCTTCAAAACAGTAAGAGTAGATGCTATTACATGTTTATCTATGTGGTATGTTCATGATCGACATAGTAAATGTGTCATCTCAGTAAATCCTCATACCTAAAAACAAATTTAGTTATCGACCCATTTTCTTTATATATTTTTTAATTTACATTTAATCATTGGATATCTGTTCAGCATACAACATGGTTGTTCAAAGCATACATGCATTGCATGTCAAACAAGTTAAAGATATTACCATACACATCATCCTCAACAGATAACTTTCCATTCTTTTGTCTGTTGAATTTTTTCCCTGAGCCCATCCTGCACACCCACTGGTGTTCACCCCCTCTTCTATCGTCTCTGGTATCTACACTTGCTGACTCTGCTATTATATCTTCCAATCTTTTATTTTCTAGTGCATAAAATCAGGGACATACAATGTCTGTCTTTCATAGTCTGGCTTTTTTCACTTATCATTAAGGTTAGGTTAATGCCTACATTTTTTCCTAGGTTGTGTGTCTGTGTGTCTGTGTGTTTGTGTGGCAATGACACTGTTTTCTTCAATTCTACCTCATTTTATTGATTCATCTACTTTATTTCAAATGACGGGATCCCTTCTGTTTTATGGCTGAGTGATATTCCATATTGTAAATGTGCCACATTTTTTCAATCTAGTCATCCATTCTTGAGCATTTAGGTTGTCTTAGGCTGTGAATATACTGCAGTAAACATGGACATGTAAGTATCTCTTCAACTGAGTATTTTTCTGTCATTTGGGTAAATACCTAGGAGTGGTATTACTGGATGATATAGTAGTTCTAAGTGTTGGGTCTTGAGGAAACTCCATATTGTTTTCCACAGTGATGTACTCATTTAATTTCCAACCACAGTGTAGGAGTGTTTCCTTTTTAACATGGCCTTGCCAGCACTTGTCATTATTATTATTATTATTATTATTATTATTATTATTATTATAGTCATAGCCATTCTAACTAGAGTTAAATGAAATCTCATTGTGGTTTTGATTTGCATTTCCCTCATGATAAGAGATGTTGAGGATTTTTTTCATATGCTCTTTAGCAATTTGTGTGTCTTACTTGGAGAGTTATCTGTCTGACTTGTTTACTTATTTTTCAAGTGCATTGTTTGGGTTTTTTGTTTGTTTTTGTTTCTTGCAGGTATGCTGCTCTTGATCTCCCTATATATTCTGGATATCAGTCTCTTATCTGAAGCATAGTTTAAAAATAGTATCTCCATTCTGAGGGGTGCCTCTTCATTCTGATTATTCTGATTATTGTTTTCTTTGCTCTACAGAAGCTTTTAGCCTAATGTAGTACCACTTGTCTATTTTTGGGATTATTCCCTTTACTTTAAGTGTCTTATTTAAGAAATCTTTGCCTACTTCAATGTCTTCAAGAGTTTCCCCTTTGTTTTCTACCAGTAGCCTATTAGTTTTAGGCTTCATGTTTAGATATTTGATTCATTTTGAGTTGGTTTCTGTTCATAGTGAGAGATAGGGGTCTCGTTTCATTTTTCTGAAGTGGATATCTAGTTATCCCAGCACCATTTGTTGAAGAGACTCTCTTCCCCACTAGATTATCTTGTGTCCTTTGTCAAAGATCAGTTGACTGTATGCTTGGGTGTTTATTTGTGGGTTTTCCATTCTGTTCCATTAGTCCACAAACACATTTTCTGCCATGGTCAGGCTGTCTTGGTTATCATAGTTCTGTAATATATTTTAGGTCAGGAAATAAGATGCCTCTTACCTTCTCTTTTTGCACAGTATTGCCTTGACGATACTAAATTTATTATGATTCCAGACAAATTTTATGATATTTTTTCTATTTCTGAGAAGAATATCTCTCGTAATTTGGATCAGAATTGCACTGAATTTGTAGGTTTAGGTAGAATTGACATTTTTATTATATTAATTCTTCCAATTATGAAATGTCTTTCCATGTTTATGTATCTTTTTTCCCCCAGTTTTTCCCAGTTTTTCATAATATTCCTTGTAAAGGTCTTTCGCTTCTTGGGTTAGGTTTATCCCTAGGTTTTGTGTGTCTTTGGCAATGATTTGTTTTCTTCAATTCTACCTCAGTCTGTTGATTGTTGGTATATAAAAAGCTATTGATTTTTGTATGTTGATTTTATATCCTACCACTTTATTGAATTTATTTATCTCTGCTGGTCCCATATATGGCTGAGAAATGTCTCTTCTATACTGATTTTGCATAGGGTCATAATCATGAATGGATGTTGTATTTCATAACGTGCTTTTTTTGCATCAATTGATATTATCACATGGTTTTTATTTTATCTTTCCTTCTGATAATGTGATAGAGTACAATTATTCTTTTGCATATGTTAAACCACCCCCTGCATCCCTGGGATAAAACCTACCTTCTCCTGGTGTATAATATTTTTAATATGTTGTTGGATATATTTTGCTAGCATCTTTAGAGGATTTTTGCATCTGTATTAATCAGGAATGTTGATCTGTAGTTTTCTCTTGGTTATCTGCTTTTGGGATTGAGGTGATGGAAACTTCATAGAATGAGATTGGGAGGTTCGCTTCCTTTTGGATCTTTAGAACTATCCCAAGGAGAACTGCAGCTAACTCTTCTTTAAAAGTTTTGTAGAATTCAGAAGGGAAGCCATGGGGACCTAGGCTTTTGTTTGTATTTCCTGATTCTGGTTCTCTGTATATTTCTCTAGATTTGAAAAGCTTTCAGAAAGTATTTTGTTGAAGAGAGTTTCCATGCCTTTACCAGCTTCTTACCTTCTAGGATACCCATTATATGGATATTTGGGCATTGAAATGTATCTAGCATCATTTACAAACAATAAATAATCTATGTCAGTGGCTTTAGTTTCAAGGTCAGAGATTCTTCTCCACAGTCAAATAATTTCTTGTATTGTATTCTTTATTTCCAGAAGTTCTGTTTGATTCATTTTCAGGGTTTCTCTCTCTATGGAATTCTTCCTTTATGTCATGGAATAATTTTCTCATTTCCTAGAATTGATTGTCTGTTTCTCTTGCATCTCAGTGAGTTCTGTCACAATGAATATTTTGAATTCTCTTTCTGACATTTTGTG